TGTGTGACCCTGGGCAAGACACTTAACCTCTGTGGCCTCAGGTTCTTTATCTGTAAAATGGGAATAGTAACAGCACATATCTCCCAGGGTTGTTATGAAGATCAAGTAAGATATCTGTAAAGGGCTTTGCAAACCTTAAGGTGGTATATGAACCCTTTTATTATAAATAAAATGTGAGGTAAGAGAGATTTTCTCGATGGGGAGGAGCTGGGAAGGCTTCCCAGAGGCATGGCAGTTGAATTGGTCTTTAAAGGACGGAGCCAAAGAGATTTGGGCTCCAATCTCCATTCTGCCATTGATCAGCTATGTAACTTTGTGTTTACCTCTCAGGACCTCAGTTTCCTCATCTGTAAAATGAGAGGGTCAGAATAGATTACCTTCCAGGTCTGTGAACCCACTATCCTATGAATTAATTACCTCCTAAGTAGCTCAGAGCAAGTGTAAAAGAATCATTTGGAGCTCCTGGTCTGTTGTCCATAAATTTCCCTCTATCCTTGGCTTGTGAGACCTCATGTTCCCCTCTGTTTCTTTCATGGGTTCCCATACTATTCATGACTCAAGGTTCAGTCCTTGGCCCTCCCCTCTCCTCACTGTCTTGTCATAGGATTAATGGCTACAGGACAGGTTGTCAGAAGTCATCTAGTCTAACCCCCTTATTTTACAGATGAGGAAACTGAGGTCAGAGAAGAGAAGGGGCTTATCCAAGGTCACCCAGGTACTACCTGTGGGAGCCTGGCTTGGAACCTTCACCTTCTTCACCACACCACACTGTCCTTCACTTCCCTCCCTGTCAAAGACCAATACCAGGTCTGTTTGCAACTCAAAGTGCAGTGGCCCGTCTCTATTGGTGAAGAGTATTCCCTCAGGGTATACTGATGAAATTCCAGGTCTGGATGCACCCCCATTCCCCACCTCTACCCCCACCCCCAGCAACAACAACAGAAGTATTCATCTTTGTCTGGATAATCAGTTCTGCAAAGCTCCCTTTCAGCCCCAGCAACAGCCTACTTCCTGGTTTCTATCAGCCAAAAGCATAGCGAGCCACTCACACCGTGTGCAATTTGGACTTGATTAGGACAGGAAGACAATTAGCAGAGTTATTTTAAAATGCACTACAGATTAGGAAGCATATTAGAATTAAATGGCAAAAGTGAATGGGGTGATGGAAAGCATAGCATGTGCCCCCTGTCACAATCCCCTCCTTATCTGCAGAGCTTAGAGAGGAAGACGGAAGCCCTGGAGCAGGAACCACTAAGGAACAGAGAATTATTAGAATTTTTTTCAAACCCAGCCTAATTGGAAATGTGATAAGCAGTGATGAAGCCACCCTTTTCAGAAAAAAAAGGAGCAAGTCAAGGAGAAGATATAAACATTCCTCAACATGGGTGGCTTTTGTGGCCGGTGAATGAGGCAGGAATTGATTACTTTCCCCCTTGGAAGCCTTATCTGCAGCTTTGTGGAAGCAATTTCCCTGGGAGACTGATCTCATTAGTTTCTCATTTGTACCCACCACCCTGCTCTGGGGCAAGAAGATGATGATGCAAAGAGGCAATGCCTCCTTGGCACGAGGTGTCTGCTGGCTGTCGGGAGATGCCATCCGACGCCTCCATCCAGGGTCACAAGTGCTCCAGCCAGCTAAGCCAAAGGCTTCCAACGTTCCAGAAGCCTGAGCTGAGCTCCCCTAGCAGAGAACATGGGTCAAGAGACCTCAGCTTCTGTTCTGAATGAATTTCTTTGGCAGGAACTCAGTTCCAGGTGGCATATTCACACCAAGCCATGACCCGGAATCAGAATCAAAGGGAGAGCTGGGAACTTGGCTCACAGATTTACAACCGAGAGGGATCTCATTGGCCAGAATCCAACCCCTTCATTTTACAGAAGAAAATGAGGCTCAGACAGGTGAGGTCACTTGCCTGAGATCACACAGGTAAGAAGTGGCAAAATAAGGCATGATCCCGGGAAGGCATCCAGGAGGAGTGATAATCCATATATAGCAGATCAATCTAATACCAAATAGACATCTAGTTAAGTGCAGACTTGATTCTATATCTTGCTGATGTGAGATATTCCCTCCAAAGATGTAGACTGATCATAATCACATTCTGTTCCACTAGGTACATCCTTGTCCCTACCCTAGCTTTGCCCCAGGGGGTCTACACATTGTGCTAGAGACCTTCCTCGATTTCTCCTGACATCGCTGAAAGTACCAGTGGAGATTATGCCATCATCTCTCACTCAATGACCAGTTCAATTCATTTAAAGGCAGATTTCTTTAATGACATCTTGAATGCACAGAGCACCAGGCCTGCGTTCAGAAGACCAGAGTTCACATGTGGCCTCAGACAATATAGGATAGGGCATTTGACCTGTCTGCCTCAGTTTCTTCATCTGCAAAATGGGGATAATAATATCATCTATCGGCTTGGGTTGTGAGGATCAAATGAGAGAAGTTTACATAGTGCATAGTAGGTATAGTACAAATATAGAATAAATGCTTATTCTCTTTAAATAAACCACACACTTGGGAATTCCTAACACATCTTATTCCTTCCCCACCCCCCCACCCTCACCAGGGGCCTCCTTGAGAGCAGTGCTTTCCATCCATAGCTTGTTTTTGACTCTTCTGCATGCCTGGAATGTCCTCCTTTTTTACTGATTGCTGACCTCCCTGGCTTCCTTTTAAGTCCCAATTAAAATTCTACAGGACCCTTTTCCCAACCCCTCTTAATCCCAGCACCTTTCCTCTGTTAATTATTTATTTATCCTGCATATGGCTAACTTTGTCCATACTTGTTTGCATGCTCTCTCTCTTCCTAAATTGTAAGCTTCCTGAGGGCAGGAACTGTCTTCTGCTTCTTTTTGTATCCCCAGTGCTTAATTACTGTTTATTGATGGATTGATTATATCTGCAGGTCACTCTTGGGTGGCAGAGGTCTTTCCTAGGAACCGCGTCCTCCCTGACACGCCCTGGCTGCCCACCACCGGACAGGGCATCTCACCTCAGTGCTCTGGGCACTGAGGTACAGAGGAGGAACCACCTGCATCGGTGGTAGGGATTCCCTCATCTGGGAATTCTTTACACCAATGAAAGCAATCCCAGGTCTGGTACTTAATCCAAGGAGCTGGCAAAATTCCTTGCAAATAGTAGACATATAACAGGATTGTAAAACTACAGATTTTGAGCTTCAAGGGACTGTCTCACATCCCCCCCATGGAAGGCTGGACTTCCAAACCCTATCTCTGACACTCCCCGTCCTTGTGCTCCTATCCAAGTCACCCGGCCACTCTCTCTGCCTGGGTTTCCTCACTGGGGATTAAATTAGATGGTCCCTCGCCGTCTAGGAACCTATGAAGCTGGGGCATTCAGAACAATCCCTGGATTGAACTAGGCAGAGGGATGTACCGTGAGGGCTGAGGAGGCCTCTCCCCTGGTGAGCCCAGACAGCTGCTGGACCGGGCTGTACCACCATCCTCCAATGGGAATAGAACAGAGAAAAAAGAAGTGGCGATGACAAGGCGCTGCTGCTGTGGGGATTTCCCAAGGAAATGAGGAAAAGGCCACGAGGGAAAGAATATGCACCCCACAGCCAGAGTGAGGGATGAGGCCCCTTGACCTTTAGCATGTGTCTGTGTGTCTGTATGTGAGTCTACAGGTGAGTGTGTGTGTGAATGTGCGTCCGTGTGTGCATGTGTCTGTAGGGGTGTGTGTCTGTGTCTGTGTCTGTACGTGTTGGGGGGGGCACGCACATGTGGAGCATAAATAAAACGAGGGCTGTAAACTTTGCTACTGTCTAAAGGAGTCAAAGACTAAGTTTTCCTGAGTGTTATTGCTTTATTTGACTTAATAAACATTAGATTCATTTAAAAAAAAAGGCTTAGAGTAGAAATAAGTGCTTAAAACATCTGATAAAAAAGCATATATATAATTCACATTCCTATTTCATATGTCATATACAGCTGAAATGTTCCTTAAAAGAATAAAGATTTCCCTTTAGATGTAGTAGTTTTGAAGAAAAACAAAAAGCTGGCATCTCCAGGAACTACAGGACGTTATTCCGTCGTCTTTTGCCTTGAATGAGAAAACACAAACAAGCAGGCCACAGTAGAACGTTATACTACATTCCAGTTTACGTTGATTACTTGCCAGGGGAAGCCTGGGAATGAGCCAATACCTGAGGATTCTGCCCACCGACCACTAGGGGTCAATGGGCCCCAGCTGTCCAAAGGCACTAGACATGAAAATGGCTTTTTCAGGACAGACAGCGGCGACCCAGGTTCCTGCCCCCTCCCATCACCCCAGCTAATGCAGCCCTGGGCTGGGTACCACCCTTCCCCTCTATGCTTCTCTTTACATTCCCCCCTCCCCGATTTCCTTCAAAAAAAAAATAATAAATCTGGATGGCCGCTTTGTCTGTAGCTCCTTTCTCTCGAGTCATCTACCACTCAAAGGCAGAGAGGGGGGAGCTCCAAAAGCATTTTTTAATCAAGCTTCTTTGCCTGAGTTTTTTTAAAGCTCAAATAGGATTCCTTTTGGGCCACCATGCAAGGCCCTCTGATGTTGCTGACAAAGATTCCCTAACGCTTTACAGAGAGAGCTGGCTCTGGAAAGACTTGGGACCAATCGCTTTGGTGGCCGACTGATGCTTGTAGCAAAGGCCTCTGGGAGTTGGTGGGTGATCCTACAAAGCCTTAAAGAAACATAGAAAAAAAAAAGACTGGGAATGCTGCTATCCCATCTCTACCCTCCAAAGGGGACTTAAGTCTTTGTCATTAAATCTTGGATGGACATGGGGTGGGGGAGAAAGCATAGATTTTGTGTTGGAAGGGACCTTGAAAGCCATATAGTATCATAACCCTTTCAATTTCACAGATGCAAAAACTGAGATCTGGATGGTGAAGTGATTTGTCAGAGGCCATACACATAGATGGCAGGGCCAGGAATCAATCCAGATTCCATTGGATCACACCAGCGATTCCAAACTGGAGGAAGAAACTGGGACTCACCAGAGGAAAATTTATTGCAAGTTCAGAGTTAGAGCAGGGCTTATATTTCCTGTAAGGTCTAGGGAAGCAGGCCTACAGCAATATCATCTATCATCTCCTTTCCATAATGCCAAAGTGTCCGAGTGCATTCAAGGGGTGGGGAGAGATGGAATTCATTGGCTTTTGCATAGAAAACTAGAGGCTAAAATAACGGAGTTCAAGACACAGGATGCACATCTGGTGGGGTTAGGGAGCAGAGATTTGGCCAAATGATCTGGGGGGGCTGCTGTGGTGGAGGGCTCAGGAGCAAAATACTCATGATAATTTCTTCATAAAGAAAGTCACAACCACGTAATATAAGGTAAGGCAAATGGAAAACATCTGTCTGGCTTGGGCTGATTTTGTGGGGGCCCGGAGGGAGCCGCTCTCCACATTTCTCTTTAGCCTGTGATTACGTTGGGCTCCAGTTGCTGAAGGGCTCCTGGCCAATGGTGAATGGGTGCAAGAGCCTGAGAGTTCCTCTAAGGAAGGTGATCCCAAACTTGGGGGCCAGGAGGAGTCCGTCGGAAGCCCACCAAAGAACCACATGAACCCCGAAACAGCACAGAGGAACAAGAGTTAAGAACGGCTATTCTGGGCCAGGAGTGAGCTTTGGCATTCTTGGGAAATGTGGGAAATAGCAGGGGTGTGGGAGGCCGCAGTCCACTCCTCGGCGGCGGTCTGCCTCTCTACTGGAGGGGAGGGGCGAGGAGCTAATGCTGTCTGAGGGGCCCTCTCGTCCCTCATTCCTCTGATACGGTGATAATCTCCTTGGCATTCTCCTCTCTGTCGCTACAGAGTATGGCTGTAGATAGAACTATAGATATATATATATAATATATATTTTTATATATATAAAACATAGCTATTCCGTAGTTATATACAGGCATTAATAAAGTGCAATTGTTATTGGCTATTGTAAGGAAAGGGGGAAAAAAATCTCATTTCCTGAGGAAGCGCTCACACAGCTTATCCTATGACAATGTCACAGGCGTAGAATGCTTTATGTCACCCACTCCCCGCCTGCTGCTGGTTGCCACCAAAGCGAGTTCCTCTCCAGAGCCCCGGCTTCAGGGGAGTGCAGGGACCCCCTCGGTTTCACAGGAAGCCAGGCCAAGGCACTATCAGACGGCGTTTTCCTGCCTTCGGCCTTCGGAGTAGATGGGCAGCGTCCTTGCCCTCACCACGAGCTCAGCCCGGGGTTACTTGGTGGGGCTCAGGGAGCCGTCCTCAGGGATTTTCTCCTCCGAACAGCTTCTCCCTGACAGCCGGTCCAGGTCGCCCAGCTCGTCAAAACGCTCGGCCACACACTGAGCGGTCAGTCGCGCTTCTGGATCGTGGTCCCAGCATTCGGCCAGAGTCTCACAGACCATCTGTATGCCCTGCATGGGGACAGGTCAGGAGAGATCGGGGAGTCAGGAAGAAGCACACAGAAGTCCCAGAAAAACTCAGCCAAGAATAAGGGAAAGGACTCAAGATAGCCTGAGAAGTCTTCTAGTTCGATGAGGAAACAGAGAGGCGAGGAGACTGGCTTGAGGTCACACAGGTAGAGTCCAGATTCAAACCTGGATACCCTTGCTCCAAAGCACAGTCCTCAATTTACTCTCTCAGAACCTCAGAGTTGCCTAGACCATTACAGCATTTACTTGGGTCACCAAGGCAGGATCTGAACCCAACTTTCAGACCTCAAGGTAGGTCCTCTATCCACTCACTATACTATCTTACCTCACCTCGTACAGAGTGCTCCTAATACCCCAGAAGCCTGGCTCCAAGAAGTCCAACCTGATTGCCCCAAGATTTTGACATCACTGAGTATTTCCCTAGCCAGCCAGCACAGATAGTGTGCCCCTACAAACATGGGGACAAAAATGCTCTCAAGTGACCTCGCTCCTGGTCCGGTCCCAGGTCTACAGATAAATCACGGAGAGTGCTATGGGAGCCTGGATTTTCAGGGGCTGCTTCCACAACTCTATTTCTAGCAAACCTCAAAGCCTCCCTCCCCCACCCCATGATTTCATGAAGCTGAATTAATTGCATCATTTACCTAATTGGTGGTATTGACGGATAGTGCCGTTAATAGTGGAATGCTATTGTTTGTACATAAGCAACATTTATTTTATTCTGCCGCTGTAATTACGGGCAGTAAATTAAATATTAAGCATTAACTTGAAATCAATAGTGCGACAAATCTCATTAACAGGAAAAATGTATTATGCAAATTCATTCCAGAATTTTATCACCATGAATAATGGCTTCATTACACCAAACCTACTGCAAGGGAGGGGGAAGGAAAATGCAGCAGAGAGAATCCGGGCTGGCTCCAAGTATACACAAAACAGGCCTGCATTCCTTGGGGGAAAGGTTATCTTGGCCTCAACCACCAGGGGAAGCACTTCGGACCAAGGCCGGGCCTGGAACTCCTCTGGGCTGGACCAGCCCTTATCAGAGGGACTGGATTCCAGCGCTGGCACAGACTGGCTTCTTCCTGCTCCATTTGTCTCCCTGGGTTGTACTGATTGTTTTCATTTCTTCTTCGAACATGCCCTGCCCTGACAGAAACCTTAGACTTGGCTATAACTTTCAATGGATGCAAGAAAAATTTTATATAGCCATCTTATAGGTTAGACAAGGCTATTCACTGCACATGTGGTGGCCTTACATCGAGGGTCCTTCTCTGTGGACATCACAAAAATCACTGCTGTTTTCTCTTCTCTGTCTGTCTGTCTCTTTCTCTCTCTCACACACACACACTCTCTCTCACACACACACACTCTCTCTCTCTCTCTCTCTCTCTCACACACACACACACACACACACACCCCTGACAATGCCTCCCATGCTAGCTCTTTGGAATCATTGTTAGGGGTGTTTGGCCTGACTGTTCATGTCCTTGTGGGTTCTCTTTCCCTCTTCCCATTTCACTGGCTCATGGAACAGTGTGTTGACATGGAGGGAGGGATGAACTCAGAGTCAAAGAAGGTGGGCTTGAATCTCCCCCAGCTTGGCCATTTATTTCCCATGTGATCCTACCAAAGTTACTCCATCTCCCCAAGCCTCAGTTTCTTTATCTGTGAAATGTGTGCACATGCACATTGGTTAGATGAATTTCACACCTCATCTCAAATCCTCACTAGCTGCTCGTATTCCCCCTAACTATTCCTGTCCTTCTCTCTGAGACCCCTCTCCAATGTCCCCTGTGTTCATCTTGTAGGCACACAGCTGTTTGCATGTCATCTTCCCAATGACAACGTGAACTCCTTGGGATCAATGAGTCCCTTGAGGACTGGGGCCGTTTATCGCTTGTTTTTTTTTTTGTTTTTGTTTTTTCCTCCACTGCTTAACATAGTGCCCGGCACACAGTAGCCACAAATATTGGTATGCTTAACTAAATCTACGCACCTTTGATAAGTGCTTGAGAAACATCCATTGAAGACGCCACAGGATTTCCTGACCAGGAATTTCTCTGATCCACCTAACTTCATTTCTTTTCTTCATTGCTTCCTAAGTAACTTCTTCTCCTGTCTTTTCTTGTATAATCAGACATTTCTCTCCCTATTCTATATCCACAACCCTTCCTCCCACCACTACACCCAGCTTCCTCTCCCTCTCTGTCACACACACACACACACACACACACATCTTAAGTCATATCTCAGCCTAAGTAACACATGAAAAAGCAGGTAAAAAAAAAAAACCACATCTCTTCCCAGTTTTCTGTTCAAGGACTGGGAATGAGAGAGAAATTAAATATAAATGCCATATGTAATATAAATGCCAATATGTAATGCAGTATGTAATGACTGTGGGGCAGCTACAGCCATCACCATGTTCAAAGGGCAGATGGAATAGGACACAAGAGTTTGGAAAAAATGACATCTCCTCCTAAATCCTTCCTTACTGAATGCCCTATTTAGAAAGCACCTGCTGGCCTGGGCCTGACATTTATAGGAATAGGATCTTCTCTTAAAAACAACAAGGACATTAAGCAGGGAGCGACTGTGCATCTCACCACCAATCCCAGGGCGAATTTCTGCCAGGCTTAGCCAGTACTCACTCGGTGGCTGAGCCATGTGTTGGGGATCTCGGGCCGTCCGCGGTCTCTCAGCACGTTGTCCTTCATGCTCTCCACACAGGGATGCTCTCTCACTTTGGAACCAAACGGCGGCTCATACTCCTTGACTTCTGCCAAGGGAATACACAAAGACAGAGCCATTGAGAAGGGCGGTGGCGTTAGGATGGACTGCATGAATAAATGCCTTGCATAGAGTGCCAGGAGGTGGGCGGCAGGTGTGTACCAAACCCCATGGGCTGTGGGAAAGGGCAAGTAAGAGTGAAAATAAATCAGAGACCATTTCTGTGCCACCCCGGCGCCCACAACCCACAGTGGAAAGAGCCCTGGCTCTTGATTCAAAGTTCTCCTCAGATGCTTCCCTTCTTTGTGACCCTGGATAAGTCACATAACCTCCCCAGATCATCCCTGTTCCCCTCAACTATAAAAGTTTCCTGGGGCAGCTGGGTGGCACAGTGGATAGAGTGCTGGCTCTGGAGTCAGGAGGACCTGAGCTCAACTCCGGCCTCAGATACATAACACTTAATAGCTGCATGACTCTGGGTAAGTCACTTAACCCCAATTGCCACACACACACACACACACACACACACACACACGTTTCCTCATCTATAAAATGAGGAATCAACCCCCTCATTTTATGGATAAAGAGAAATGACTGTCCAAGGTTATAGAGGGAAGACTAACCTTCCATCTATAAAATGAGGTGGTTGTCCTATCTGTTTTCTCTGGTCCCTTCTAGTCCCTAGTCCTGTACCATGTATAACAACAGGGACAGAGTCAAGCAATTCCACTAGCCTAGGGTTATATCCAAAGCACTGAGCATGATGCCCTGTGCACAGTAAGTGCCTAATAAATTCTGACATTTCTCTACCAATCTCAGGTGATGAAACTCTGTCTTACCTAGGACAGCCCCCATTTTCTTTGTAATTTAGACTTTAACAGCATTGCCTAGAGCAGGGACGGACAAACTATGGCCCACCATCTGTTTTTTGCATGGCCCACCAGCTAAGAATAGCCATCCACTTTGTGACAGAGATGGTAGAGTCTGGGTACAGACTGAGACGTGCATTTTTGGAAATTGCTGGTGTAGGGATATTTTGCTTGACTACGTATTTCTGTTATAAAGGTTTGGGGTTTCCTTTTTCCCCCCAGTTAGGGACAGGGAGAGATAGAGCTAGATAGATAGACAGATAGATAAAAGCTTGTTAAATGAATATGGGTGTATCTATGTATATGTATGTATGCACACACACACATATGAAAGGGGAGAACAAGAGGTGGAGGGAGGGAGAGAGAGA